ATTTACCGCTCACAGCGCGATGTTTTCGTCGCGCTGTGATGACGTCACGTATGCGCTTTCGTCGAGCGCGCTTTTGTCGACCGCGGTTTTGACGGGTCACGAGAGTAGCAGCACTAGATATATATCACACAATCAGAGGAACAAGTGTGCCTGTGTAATGTCTAGTGGAATACATGCCTTGTATTGGATGCTTATTAGCTGCTTGCTGACTTTCCGAACCATTTTGCCTGTGAGGCTTTCACATACAGTATGTTAACTACTTAGTAGATAGACAGTGTAAGCCAGTATTATAACATGAGCTCAAAATTGTGAAAATAGTCTGCATGTCTTGTTCCTTGCCAACTCTTTGCAGCTGCCCAATCTTGGAGGTTTTTTTTTTTAAATTTAAAGGTAAAGGTTCTCCTTGCACATTTGTGCTAGTCATTCCTGACTCTAGGAGGCGGTGCTCATCTCCATTTCAAAGCCAAAGAGCCAGCGTTTTCCGAAAACGTCTCCGTGGACATGTGGCCAGCATGACTAAATGCCGAAGACACACAAAGCGCTGTTACCTTCCACCAAAATGGTCCTTATTTTTCTACTTGCATTTTTACATGCTTTCAAACTGCTAGGTTGGCAGAAGCTGGGACAAGTAACGGGAGCTCACTCTGTTACGCGGCACTAGGGATTTGAGCCACCAAACTGCTGATCTTTCTTATTGACAAGTTCAGCATCTTACAAATAATTTACTCATCTCATTGGCTGAAAGTTCAGCCTCCAGGAATGGTTACTGAAATAAGGAAGTTGACTCTTGAATCTTATTCAAAGCTTTCTGAATAAACTGAATCAGGGCTAGTAATGAAGAATTGCTGGGAGGATGGGTTCTGTTGTTAAGGAGTACTATTATAAAAATCTCTATGTAAGCGTTTGCTTTTCCTCCTATTAGTGTGCAGAGCCTTGTATTCTGTACCCTGTAAAGTTCAATAAACTTGGCTGAAGCAGATTGTTTTCACTTGTATATTGGATCTAGGGATGCTTGCCATTTAATTAGTGTCAACAGTGGGTTTTTTTAAATACATTTATCAGCAAACCACTGGTGGAGGTGTGTAATTTTACAAAAATACTTTTTATAAGGTGGTCTCACTTAACGATGATAATCGGAACCAGAATTTCCATCACAAAGCAACAGTCATAAAACACAATATCACAGGACCATGCTTGCTTAGGAAAGAAATGTCAGCATTTCCAGTTGCCTTCATTAAGTGAAATCATCGCAGATTGAAACTACTAATGTCTTTTTCAAGATTTCACAGAATTGGGGAAAATGCCTTCTCCAAAAACTGAGGGAAGAAGATTGGCATGTGTTTGTGTGAGTGTATCTTATTTCAGTCCTTTCTTCTGATTAAAAAGAAATTAAAATGTTTAATTGCTATCATACAATTCAAAATTATTTCAGAACCAGTTTTGCCTGTTTAATAAAAAGTAATTTGCATACAGTAACAGGCCTTCCTTTCCCCATGAAATGCCTTTAGAATTGTTTGGACTTTTTAAATATATATATAAAAAAATCTGTTCTTTAATAAGTAAGAAAAGAAGGAGTCAATGACTTCATGAAAACATGCCAGTATAGCTTTTCTTCAAAAGCTCAGTTCCTATTCTTGGATTCTAGCTAGTATTTTACTTGTGAGTGTGTAATATCTGGCCAACATTTCATTAAGAATATGGTTAATATGATTCATCTGTAGCTCTCAAAAGGCCAAGATCCTAAAAGCTCTATTAAAGATATGCTTTAGACATCCATATGAACATTTAGCATATTTAATATAAATCTCCTTTCAAACATGACAGTACATGCCAAATGGATTTAAGCTTCTCTCAATGATTTGTAATGTAGTATATAGGAATGATTTATGAGAAACCATTCAGGTCCTGCAAAGCTAAGCACATAAGATCCAGACTGAGATATATGTTTGATCATAGATTAGTTTACTTTTCTTAGAAGGTTACCATCTAATGATCAGATATGTCAGTTGCAATAGTATATGTGAGTTCAAGATGAAAAGCGATTTGCCTAAATATTATTCATTATATTATATTCATTACATTTCACTCGAGGCCACAAAATGGCAGTGACTTGTTGCAGAAAGAACAGGAAATAATTATAACTTCAGAAAGAATGAGGATATAGTTAAAAATTAGGTTATAGGCTTTGCATTCTTCCATAAAATGAATACATTTCAAAGGCAGCCCTCTTCCAATGCCTTTATAAAACTAGAAAATTTTAAGTTTTGTTACTTTACACAAGGCATAGTTAACAAAATGTTGCAGGTGAAATAATAATGGGACTTGTTTTTATATAATAGTTTATTAATAGAACTGTGTTTGTGATAACACAAATTCTATTTTTGCAATTTGGAAATTAATAACCACTGGTCAGCAAGCTTACAAATATTTTAGAAACACATATTCATATGTAATGAATAATGGCTGCTAATTTGTTGTTCATAAATTATAATATGAATATCTTCACTTACCATTTTCATCTACTGCCTGTACACATGCCCCCTTTGCTAACAATTCCTCAACTACCATCTTCAAGCCATTCTGTGCAGCAATATGAAGAGGTCTAGAAAATGTAATGTCTAGATTCAGTAGGTTTGATGTATTTCAAAAAGTCTATTAATAATACTATGCAGTTTGTTCAAGTGCTTAACTACATTGAAACACTCTGAACTCTGGTTGCAAACTGCAAAAGTATAAATTATGTAACACTTTACTTTTATCAAAATTGTTAAATAAAAATCATAGTTAATTAAAATTATACTCACGTTTGCAATGCATTGTTTTTTGCATTAATAAGGCTCGGTTCTTGTATCTTGTCAAGTATCAACAAGGCACATTTTTCATGACCCTGGAAAACAAACACACACTATATCTTAACTATATTTGGAACATTCTGGAACACATATGTTTTTAAATCTGACTTTAGTTAATTATTAAGGAAAGTCTAGCACAGTGTTTCTCAACCTTGGCAACTTGAAGATGTCAAGATGCCAAGGTTGAGAAACACTGGCTCTAGCAGATGTGAGAACAGAGATTTCCATCTGAAAACTTTGGAAATGCATTAAGATGAAAGAATGAGATGCTTTTATTGAAATGTATTTATTAGTTTATTAGAATTTTTCATTCCTTCTAATGGTAGAACTTGTAGCCTGTCTAAATTTCCCTCGTCTGCCAGTGATGTACTGTGGGTGGGGGTTGGGGAGACAAACAAGCTACAAGTTCTACAGTAGAAGGAATGAAAAATACTGAAAGGCCACCTAATTTGTCCAAGCTTCCTAAATGCATACCGCTATTGTTATTGCATACCTCTTAAGTCACCTGCCCCTTGTTTTCTACTTAGCCAAAGTCAACACACTGCATATGGGAGTGGGGTGGGAATACAATCAGTTACAGCAAATCATAATATTCAAGCAAAGGGAAAATGATATAAACTGTTCTTCAGGTTGAGAGAGTTTTTCTTGCTCTGTAAGGTTCCTCTGTCACCATTCCTACTGTTGACTGACTCAGTAATGTCTGACTGAAAGAAAACCCAAGAATTGTAAAAATACTGCTATAAAGCTGGATTGCTGTTGTTTTTTTTAAAATTCACTTTACCTTACTTTATCTTATTTAAAATATCTCTTTTGGCACTCATCTTAAACACAATTCACAACAATAAAACAAATAGCCATACAATCATAATCATAAAACCATAAAATCAAATAACAGGAATTCCCTAAGATAAGACAGAGTAATTATTGCTCACTGTTTGCAGGATTATTTCCCTTAAGAATATAATAGTGAAGACTCACAGGAGCTGCTAAGTAAATATATAAAAAAACTATATTCTAAACTTTTATCACTTGTTTACATCTTACACCAATAGAACATTCAATTTTAAAAATGCAGTATTATAGGGATCTTTCAAACTGTTAGCAGACAAGTCAATCTTTTTCAAAATCTGCCATTCTGTTCTTCTTTATTTCTTTTAGCCTCACTTCACTACCCCAGACACCGAATAATTCATAACCAAGAGGAAGAGTAATTATCATTGGATTGTTTTAAATCTCTCCATTTTTCTTACTGTCATTTTTATTAATACAAAATTTGGAAGTACCCCAGGATTCTGGTGATATTTAACTACCACTGATTACTAGGAAAATAATTTGCTAATAAAATGTGCAACGCATAATATGGATGTCAGTTCTTGTGGGGATCAATCAGTATGGCACAAGATTGTTGAATTTCAGTATTGCCATTTCCAGGGCATAGAATATACAGGTAGTCCTCATCCTCCAGTTGCCTTGTTTAATGACCACTCAAGTTACAAGTGGTATACAAGTTTTACAACCAATCCTCACTTTTACAACTTTCTCATCATATGGTCATGTGATCACCAGTTGAGGTCTTTGCAACTGGCTTGTAACAAGAAGAGTTAATTATGTTTAAGTTTACTTTATTGTCACTGCACCTCGTACAATGAAATTAAATGCCATCTTCAATGTACATTATACATTATACATAAAACAAAAACACACATCCTTCACATTATATCTGTACAATTGAATTGAAAACCCCCTGATATTGCATTAATATTGCACTATACAGTAGAATTCAATATAGTTACTGCTCTGGGATAGAAACTGTTTTTCAGCCTATTTGTCTTTGTTTTTATTGGCCTGTACGATCTGCCAGATGATAATAGTTCAAAAAAAGGGTGTCTAGGATGAGATGGATCTTTGAGAATGTATTGAATTTTCTTAAGGCAGCAGGAGCTATAAAGCTCTTCAAAGGAGGGTAGAGGGCAACCAGTGATCCTCTGGGCAATCATGTTAACCCTCTGGAGCGCTGTCCTATCTGCCACCGTGCAATTGGCAAACCTTACACCGGTGCAGTAAGTTAAAATACTCTCTATGGTGCAGCAGTAGAAGGTCACCAGCAGTTAATAGTGAAAGCAGAAATAAAATCATAAATCACAGTTATGTTTGTTATGTTATGTTATGTTA